ACCATCCTGGCTAACACGGGTGAAACCCCGTCTCTACTAAAAATACAAAAATTAGCCAGGCATGGTGGTGGGCACCTATAGTCCCAGCTTACTCGAGGCTGAGCAGGAGAATGCGTGAACTCAGGAGGCGGAGAGTTGCAGTGAGCCGAGATCGCCGCCACTGCACTCCAGCCTGGGTGACAGAGCAAGACTCTGTCCCCCCAAAAAAAAAGCAAAAGAGCAACGTGTGACAGAGAGTGAATAATGACTCTCCAGAGTCCAAGGTCTCTTAATTGGCACTCTTTGGCCTTCAGGGCCAGGGAAAGGATTCTGTAGTGGGAGATGCGGTGCGTGGTTTCTGCAGTGTTTCTGCTCCTTCCTGGGGAGACTATGCCGCAGTAGCAACCTTCACTGTGAACACCCCAGACGTCGCTATCTACTTGCAAGGCCCCCTGGGGGGAAAAAGCGGAACAGAAACCAGTGGTGCTAAAATATTCCTATCTGGGGCCAGGACGCGGTGGCTCACGCTTGGTCAATCCTCCAGGCACTTTGGGTGGCTGAGGCGGTGCGGATCACGAGGTCACGGAGTTTGAGACCCAGCTCTGACCAACATGGTGAACCCCGTCTCTACTAAAAATACTAAAATTAAGCTGGGCAATGGTGGCGCATGCCTGTAATCCCAGGCTAACGCTGGAGGCTGAGCAGGAGAATTGCTTGAGGCCTTGGGAGGAGAGTTGCGGTCAGCTTGAGATAGGCTCATGCCCCCACTGCACCTCAGCCGGGCACACAGAGCTGACGACTCCTCTCAAAAAAAAATCCTATCATGGCTCGTTACACAGTGGCTGACCCGCCTCTCACCTCGATCTCCTGACCTCGTGATCCGCCCTCCTCAGCCTCCCAAAGTGCTGGGATTACAGGCGTGAGCCACTGCACCCGGCCTGCTTTTAATTATTTAGGGGTGTAAAAACCATCCTCAGCTCAAGGATCACACAAAAACAGGCCTTAGGACATTGTTTGCTGATCCCCGCGCTACAGAGTGCCAAGGCCCACACAATACCACACACTGGCAAGAAGTCACGGGCTCTGGGGTCACAAACTATTCAATGGGTCTTCAACGTGAGCCTAGACTGTTGTCTTCACACAGGGTGGGGCGGGTGCCTGAGTTACCGGCCTCCTAGAGCAGGAAGGAGGGATTCTCCAGAACGAGTGATTCCCACCACCACCACCATCCACTAAGCTCTAGCCACAGGTTTCAACCCATCTGAAACTGCAGCTCTGTAACCAGTTACACCATGCAGCAGAGAGTATCTCAATATTCATCACATTTAACCTTTGAGGGGTACAGGCAACCACTATTCATTTCAGGAAAACATTCTCTTACTTTATTTGCATCTCAGCAAAGGTTCTCATTTGGCACCTGACTGGCATCAAACCAAAGTTCATAGGCCAACAAAGCTGGGCCACTCACAAGTTTCCCATTTGTAGGTCTCAGTGCCTATGAGTATCCGACACCTGTTCCTCTCTTCAGTCTCTCAGGGAGGCTTAAATCTGTCTCAGGTGTGCTAAGAGTGCCAGCCACAAGGTGGTGAAAAGGTCCACGGAACTGCAGTCTTCGCTGGGATAGGAAACCAAGCAGTGCCTGGACAGCAGAGCTCTTTTCGTGGGCAAGAGATAACCAGACAGGACCCTAATCGTGCTCTTATTCAACATTCTTCTCTCTCTGCCTAGACTGGAATAAAAAGCCAATCTCTCGTGGCACAGGGGAGATACAAGCTGGTTTACATTTGATCTAACAAAGGCATCTACCGAAGTCTGGTCTGGATGGACGGCACAGGGAGCTCTCAGGTCAGCGCTGCTGGTTGGAGGACATTCCTGAGTCCAGCTTTGCAGCCTTTGTGCAACAGTACTTTCCCAGGATCCACAGGAAATACTCAGAGTCCACCGGGACATTTTACTTATATTCAGCTTCCAAGTGTCAGAGGAGTTCAGGACTGTCTGGCCTGGGGGCCTCCTCAGGACCTCAATTCAGGATTATCTACTCAAAGCATTAAATAAAAAGAAATACATTTTCAGGATGAAGGCTGCTCTTTTAAACCCTGCTGAAGAAACCATTTCAGGCAGGATTGAAATAGGGAAACCGGGTACTCAGTTCGGCGCAAGCAGGAGTTGCCTTTAGACTAGAGAGCCTCTCCTCCGGTGCGGCACAAGTAGGGCCTCGGCTTGAGGTCAGCATTCTAGCCGTCCAGCGCTCCCTCTCCGGCACCTCGGTGAGGCTAGTTGACCCGACAGGCGCGGATCATGAGTAGCTGCAGGAGAATGAAGACCGGGGACGTAATGAGGCCGAACCAGAGCTCCCGAGTCTGCTCCGCCAGCTTCTGGCACAACAGCATCTCGAAGACGAACTTGAGACTCAGGACCGTGAGGACCCAGAAAAGGCGGAGCACCGCCAGCCGCTTCTCTCCATCCTGGAAGAGGCGCACGGACACGATGGTGGTGAAGTAGGTGCTGAGCCCGTCAGCGGCGAAGAAAGGCACGAACACGTTCCACCAGGAGAGGCCCGGGACCAGGCCATCCACACGCAGTGCCAGCAGCACAGAGAACACCAGCAGGGCCAGCAGATGCACGAAGATCTCGAAGGTGGCGAAGCCTAGCCACTGCACCAGCTCCCGGAGCGAGAAGAGCATCGCGCCCGTTGAGCGCGGGCCGGGGCCCGGCCAAGCGTGCCACCCGCGGGGCTGCGTCTCCTCTCCCCGTGGCCCTCGCCCGCGCCTGCCGCCGCTGCTGCGAGCGAGAGGCAGAGAGCAGCCCCGCCACCCCCAGCCCTCGGCCCTGGTGCGCCGGCAATGCCCTGGCCCCGACCCGGGACTCAACCCTGGCCGCCGGTGGACGCCCGCCTCGATCGGACGCCATGCCCCACCGGGCGCGTCCCTAGTGCGTCACTTCCGGTCGACGGCGGAAGGCGGAGCGGTCCCTGTATCCCGGCCGGCGGGATCTGCCTTCTAGTTCTTAGTCTCCGACCTGGAGCCGGGCGCGTCCAGATGCTGAACCCGCAGTTTCTGGTGCTCTTTGGCAGCCAGACAGGCACGGCTCAGGATGTGTCGGAGAGACTGGGTCGCGAGGCCCGGCGCCGGCGGCTTGGCTGCCGGGTGCAGGCCCTGGACTCCTACCCGGTGGTGAGGGCTAGCTAGGGCCTCGGCGTGGGGGACAAACAGACCTGGCGTGCCTGCTTCTCGGGGTCATCGACCCAGAAGGCGTCGCATTGTCTCTGAGAGCGAGTCTTTCCCTTATGGCGGATTTAGGGAAAGGGGAGGCTTGGGAAGAGGAGTTCAGTTTAGCACCTGGAGGAGGTTGGAACCTGAAAGAGAAGACGGTCTGGCCGCTCACATAAATTCCTCTGCCCTGTCAGCCTGAGTGAAGGAGAAGGGGGTCGAGTTTTGGGAAGGACGCCCAGTCCTTACAGCCGGAGGTCTTACGTGTGTGTGTCTTTTTGTTGAGGTGAATCTGATTAACGAGCCCCTGGTGATATTTGTTTGTGCAACTACAGGCCAAGGAGACCCCCCTGACAACATGAAGGTAAGGCTGGCCTGATGTGGCTCCTCAGATCCCTGCCCTCGACCCTCACCCCGTTTTCATTGCCTGGAGTCTAGGTGCAGTAAATAGCTCTCCTCTATCTCATGCATCTTCAGAGGTGGATTTGAGAGGACGTCCCTGAGTGGAGCTGGGGGCTCCAGTTGCTCTCTCTAATAAACTCTTCACAGCCACCAAATAGCCTTATTATCCATTTTAACCTTTCTTATCTTTCCAGGGCTATCTATATATGCATCTAGTCTGGGTCTTCTGTGTATTTCTAGACTGTATGACCCTCAGGAAACATTGCTGAATTCTCTGACCATCTTTTAGGCACATATTCCATTCTTGGCACAGTCTGGTGCTGGGGATCCAGCTGTGAACCCAGCGCCATATTTCCGTCCTGGCAGAGTTCATACTGTAGCAGAAGCACCTAATGGGCAATGACAGTGCCAGCGAACACCTGCAGCTGGGGAAAGTAGCATATGTCACAGGAGCACTGATAAGGGGCATCGAGCCTTATCTCACCCAGCCTTGGGGCCCAGGCAGAGGTTTCTGGAAGAAAAGAGCGTAAACTGAGTCACCAAAGAATGTGTGAGGGCTAGTCAGGCACCAAGAAAGAAGGAGCAGTCTGTGCAGAGGAAAAAGATTATTTGGCTTGTGTGAAAAGTGAAAAGCAGCTCAGGGTGGCCAAGCTGAGGAGTGCACTGGGGCAAGAGGGGAGGAGAAGAGAGGCAGGAAGCCAGGCTCAGTCCAAAGAGCCTGAGTAACCACAGCAAGGCAGATGGGCTTGAAATGAAGGGTTGTCGGAACTGTAGGGGTGACCCAGTCATGTTCCTACACTAGCAAGACCGCCACTGGTCAGCAGGAGAGCAAGAATAATGCCATGAGATGCACAGGACAGGCAGGAGATGCTACCAGTCTGAGCTAAGGTGGTGGCAGAAGATAGAAGTGGACACGTTGCACGGGTGTTAGGAAGAGAGAGACCCCAGGACATGGAACAGACCCAAGAGGTCAAGCAGAATCAAGACAGGGATTTGGGCTCTGGATGGATGGTGGTTCCATTGACAGAAATAAGAGAACACGGCGGGACTAGGTGGTTGTGCAGGAAGGGAACCTGGAAACATTGAAGTGGAGAAGCACAGTAGGGCTAGCGCTCCAAGGAAGATCCTGGGGTACAGGGAGGTAGGTGTTAACATAGCCACAATACAGAAGTGTGAGAAGAGGAAGCTCTTCTCTCCCTACAGGACAGGCTGCCCAGAACGTTAGAGCCCAGGAGGGCAGGAGAGTGACCAAGCAGCTAGAAGAGAGGGTGCAGCATCCCCAAGGAGAGGCCTGAGGAGTGGGTGTTCCAGGAAGGGCTCCAGCATGTAAAGCTGCACAGAAGTCGAGTAAGATAAAGCCTGAGAGGAATCCATGGGATTTCTTGGCAAAGGGATTGTTGGTGATATCAGCAAGAGCAGCTTCAGTGGTTCGTGGGGAGACAAGCCAGGTTACAGGAGATCAGCAACTCAGTGAGTGAGTGGAGAGCATCTTTTTTTTTCTTTTTTTTTTTTTTGAGACTGAGTCTCGCTCTGTCGCCCAGGCTGGAGTGCAGTGGAGCGATCTCGGCTCACTGCAAGCTCTGCCTCCCGGCTTCACACCATTCTCCTGCCTCAGCCTCCCGAGTAGCTGGGACTACAGGCGCCCATCACCTCGTCCAGCTAATTTTTTTTGTATTTTTAGTAGAGATGGGGTTTCACCATGTTGGCCAGGATGGTCTCGATCTCCTGACCTTGTGATCCGCCTGCTTCGGCCTCCTAAAGTGCTGGGATTACAGGCGTGAGCCACCGCGCCCGGCCGAGAGCATCTTTTAAGAATGTCTTGAGTGTGACCCAGGTGCAGTGGCTCATGCCTATAATCTCAGCACTTTGGGAGGCCGAGGCAGGCGAATCACGAGGTCAGGAGTTCGAGACCAGCCTGGCCAACATGGTGAAACCCGTCTCTACTAAAATTACAACGATTAGCTGGGCATGGTGGTGCATGCCTGTAATCTGAGCTACTCGGGAGGCTGAGGCAGGAGAATTACTTGAACCAGAGAGTCAGAGGTTGAAGTGAGCCGGGATCGGCCACTGCACTCCGACCTGGGCAACAGAACAAGGCCCTGTCTCAAAAAAAAAGATGGGAGAAACCTGGTATGTTTTCTGTTTTTTGTTTTTTGTTTTAAGACGGAATCTTGCTCTGTTGCCTAAGTTGGAGTGCAGTGGCACGATCTCGGCTCACTGCAAGCTCTGCCTCCTGGGTTCACACCATTCTCCCGCCTCAGCCTCCCGAGTAGCTGGGACTACAGGTGCCCACCACCATGCCCGGCTAATTTTTTGCAATTTTTTAGTAGAGACGGGGTTTCACCGTGTTAGCCAGCATGGTCTCGATCTCCTGACCTCGTGATCTGCCTGCCTCAGCCGCCCAAAGTGCTGGGATTACAGGCGTGAGCCACCGCGCTCGGCCGAAACTCAGCATGTTTAATTGCTGGCAGGGGAGAGACAGGAGAAAGAGGCTGAAGACTTGAGTAGGGACGGCAGGGGATGTGCAGTGGCTAGAGGGAGAGCTGAGCGTAGGTCAAGGGGTCTCAGATAGAGTGGGATGGAAGAGAAGGGGGTTCAGAGTGGAGCACAGGCAGGGGAGGGGAATGGTGGGATAGGGAAGCCCCAGAGCATGGGAGAGGAGAGGGACTGGGGCTGGGCTGGGCATTCAGTCAGCCAGTGGCAGGAAGCTGGTGCTCATGCTGGGACTCAGGTCAACAAGGAAAGGAAGAGTCCCAAGTATGGGCACCCACAGAGAAGACCAGGAGTTGGAGGGGGCAGCTAATGCCCACAGCAGGAACTGGGGGCTCCTTGAAGAGGCCATGGACCCAGAACCCATGGCCTTGGAGACAGGAGCGAGTCTTAGTGGCTATCCTAGCGAGACAGGAGGACCCTGGCTCCTTGCCGATGATGCTGTAGGTGAGGCAGGTGCCCCTTGCAGCAGACAGGAGAAAACAGAGGAACCACAGTCAAAGGCTGAGTGACCAGGTCCCTGCCCATCTGGTGAAGAAACCCACGAGGCGCCAGGCAGTGGCTCATGCCTGTAATCCCAGCATTTCGGGAGGCCGAGGCGGGTGGATCACCTGAGGTCCGGAGTTTGAGTCCAGCCTGGCCAACATGACGAAACCCCATCTCTACTAAAAATACAAAAAATTAGCTGGGTGTATTGGCGCACGCCTGTAATCCCAGCTACTCAGGAGGCTGAGGCAGGAGAATCACTTGAACCCAGGAAGCGGAGGTTGCAGTGAGCTGAGATCTCGCCACTGCACTCCAGACTGGGTAAAAGCAAATGCACCACAAAGAACCACACCCCACCCGAGGAAGGACCTGCATAACAGGTAGAGACGGGCAGAGGCTGAAGCAGTAGTGGATGTGACCCCCATGGGGCAAGGGCAAAGCTGGAGACTCAGGAACAGGAAACAGTTCTTTCTGTTTCTCTTTTTCTTTTTTTTCTGGAGACAGAGCTCTCGCTCTGTTGCCCAGGCTGGAATGCAGTGGCACAATCTCAGCTCACTGCCCTCTGACCTTGCAGACTCGGGTGATCCTTCCACCTCAGCCTCCTGGGCAGCAGGGACTGCAGGTGCACACTGCCACATGCAAGTAATTTTTTTTTTGTATTTTTTGTAGAGATGGGGTCTCAAACTCCTGGGCTCGAGCAGTCTGCCCGCCTCGTCCTCCCAAAGTGCTAGGTTTGCAGGTGCGAGCCACTACACCTGGCCAGAAATAGTTATTTAAATGGACATGAAAAAACTTTAAAGGATTAGAAGATTTGGGAGGCCGAGATGGGCGGATCACGAGGTCAGGAGATTGAGACCATCCTGGCTAACATGGTGAAACCCCGTCTCTACTAAAAATACAAAAAAACTAGCCGGGCGTGGGGTGGGTGCCTGTAGTCCCAGCTACTCAGGAGGCTGAGGCAGGAGAATGGACCTACTCCTGCGCCTTCACAAGCCTCCAT